GGGGGCAGGCGGGGGACCACCTGGGAGGGGTGGGGAGGGGGCCTGAGGGGATGCTCTGCTTGCGAGGGACTCTGCCCAGCCAAGAGGGAGACCTAGGGCACAGAGGCAAAGTAGGGGTGGGAGAGCCCGGGGTAAGATAGTAGAAAGTTTCGAGAACTTTTTCAAATGTAGCTCCCTTTCTCTGTATCTTTTTTCTTCTTACAGTCTGTGTCTCTGTCTCAGGCAACCGTGGATGTCTTTGTCTCCGCCTCTTCCATATATTAGAAATATCTCACATTTATGAGGTTGGGATGAAGAGGCTGGAGGGACGGCTAGCTGGAGGTCTGCGTGATAGGGAACTCCAGGTGTGACTCTGAGCGCGGGGCAGGAAGACGTCAGTGTTTCTGAAAGGAGGGAACAGCTAAGGAGAGAGCCCTAGATGGGGTGGGAGTGGGTGTGTGTGAGGCGACAAAGCCGCTGGGGGGCGGCTGGGCTTGAACCCCTGACCTGTCTTGTGACAGATGTGCTTGTTGGTGCGTGTGTTTTGAGGGGAAGGAATTATTTTTTGGACTAGGTGGGGGCTGGAGAAGTGACTCTCTAGTTTAGGCCCTAGAAAGACTCCCCAAGGAATTTGGACTCCTGGGTCCTAAGGGCTGTGGGCAGGGTGCTAAGGAGGAGCTGAGGAGACCTTGTCTTGACCTTCTGACCTCAGGACCACCGGGGCAGCTGGGGCCAGCCTCAGGGAGACCCCTACTGGGATGGGGCGGGACCACTGGCCACTGCCTGCCTGTGCATCTCGGTTGGCCCCCCTCCCAAACGGGAGCTGGGGACCGAGGCCCCTCCTCTGCCTCAGACCACCCTGCCTGCCCTTGCTCCCCGCTCCGAAGTCTCTTTCAGGCCCCGTGACCCCGAAACAATCCGCCCTGGGCAGCGAGCTTTGGGGATAGGATTAGGCAAAGGGGATCCCACAGACACTGGGGACTAAAGGTTTTAGGGGCTGGAGAACCGGGGTCGTCATAGAATAGGTCTTTACGGTCCATTAGAGGGAGAAGGCAGGGCGATTTCTCGGGGGGCGTTGTAAAGGTCTGAATAAGGATTTTTCCTTGGGGGGCGGGGTCCAGAGACCCCCCCATTATCTCCTAGGCAAGGCATCCCCTGCCAGACGGTACAGACCCCGCCCTTGACGTCACTAGGGGGTTCCCGGGGGTCTGGAGTGGTTAACCCTTGGGAAGCCAGCTGGGATACCCAGGAACCGCCCCCTCCCCAGACACACCTTATTTTTCCTAATCACTTTCTCCCCTTATAGTTTCTGGATTCTTTCTTTTCCACCTCACCGAGGGACTCCCACTCTCCAACAGAGCCCCCACCCCGTCCCCCCGCGCCACTGCCAGCTCTGGATGCTCCGAGGGGAGGAGGCAAGAATGTGTCCCGCCTCTCAATCCGCATCGCTCCCCCCCCTCCACTGTGGCTCGCTCGACTGGGCTCCCGGAGCGGGCGGGGGAAGCGGAGCAGTCTGCAGCCAGAGCCTGCGGCGGCGACTTGGGTGGGCCGAGGAGGCACGGGGGCGGGGAAGGCGGGACCGGGAGAAGGGGGCGGGGCCGACTCCTGGGAGTTGGGGAGCGGGGGTGCGACGGGGGGGCACTCTGGAAAATTGGGAGACACAGAAGATGATTCAGGGCTCCAGCAAGGGAACCCTAGAGCTCCCTGTCCCAACCTGCGCTCTCATCCACACCCCAGAAAAGCTTAATTGAAGCTGGAAAAGTTGGCGAAATTTTCCTTTCACCAGTGTGAAGGGGAGACGTAGGTGGGCTTTGGCACGCGTGGGCGAGAAGAGACATCGCCCCATTTCCATCTCGGGCTCCCCTGTGGCTGGGCAGTGGGGCAGGAAGATGACTGAGCAGGCATGTTTGGGGGAGTCTCTAGTTTTGGGGGGTCGTTTACAAGCCCCCGCCTCCTTACTCTGGGTGAGTCATAGAGGAAGGAGGCGGGAGAAGTGTCCCCCATTCCAGCTGCCAGCCAGCTGTGCCCCCCAACATTGTGCCAAGGTCGAGCTGAGAGGTCTTGGTTGCGGGATTAGGATCTCCGCTGGGAAAGGAGGAGTTAGGAAGGGTACAGCCCAGGCTGCGGGTCTCGGGCTGGGTCATGGGGTCCGGGTTCCGCTCCCCATCTTACCCCGCCCTCACCCTAAATCCCAGCATCCCGGGATCACCCACCGCGCCGGCCCGCTCCCGGTCGGTCTCCACCCTACCCCGCCCCACCCCACCCTCAGTCCCGGGAAAGCGGAAAACCCGGGGCGGACCAAAAAACTGGAGTTTGAGGAGAAAAGCGGACAGATACTCTATTCTTCCTCATTACTCCTCTCTAATGGATGATGACTTTGGTTTGTTTTTTGTTTTTGTTTTTTAATTCTCCCAAAGTTTTCCCTCACAGTCCCTTTTCTGTTCCTCAAAACGACCAAAAGAGTTAAGCAGGCGCCTAGATTCAGACCACCCCTGAATAACCCCAGCTTCCATCCTTTGTACCCAACAGACCCGGGAGGCTTCGCTCAGAAACCCTATCCCCTTCAACACACAGTTTTCTGCGTTAGAGAGAAAACGGCAGATCATCCGTGTTCCCTCCTGGCCCTACCAGCCCCTCTGTCTGGGCCGTGGCGAGGGCTCCCTCTGCTGGAACCTGGACGGCAAGCA